TCTTTAAATTGACTCCTAAAATAATTTTTCTCATAATCTAGTAACTTTGTTTCTTTTAGTTTAAAATTATTATGTCCTGTGAAATTTCTATGTTCTACAAGGGCAGAATTCTTAATTTTATCCCATTTTAGAGCATATTCATGGTTTTTCATTCTTTCTTTCAAAGTTCTAGATGTTTGTCCTACATAGCATTGGTCACATATTCTACATTTCACTTCTGATAAGGCACAATTTGGATTATGGATTATAAACACATGGTAATAAGACCAAATCCAAATAAATAAATAGTGTATGATGTTTCGGTAACAAGGCTGTTACCGAAACGTCACACTATTTATTTATTAGATAATAAAAAGACATATATTGGATTTAATAAAATATTTATTTGACAAAATTTCGGTTGGCTGAACGCCAAACCTTTATCAATGCATTACATTTTTGTATACACAAACTCAGCGTCGCATAGTGTTATAATATCACAGTTGAAAAAAAGTAGGTGGTGAAAATTGTGCAAGCAAAAATTATTATATGATATATACACATATAGATCTTTGATTTCTAATTAACCTATAGCGATGCAAGATACATTTGGTGACAGTGTTTTGCCTACTTTGAGTGTGTGTGTGCAGACAATAAGTCTGTCAGCAAGTGCTTGGAGAACCTGGTGATCTTCAATGAAGCCAGCTCCCTGAAGTACGGCTGGAGTGGATCCAGATGGTGGACAATGTGGTGATCTTCCCATCCACCTGTCAGAAGAAAGATGCGGAGATGTTGGTTGCAGTGCAGGCCAAGATGGATGGCAACAATTATGGTCCCATAATCATTAAATATTTACAGTAGAACCTCCCTTTAGCAGACACCTCTCTATAAAGGACAGTTTTCATTTACAAAATTACCATTTTAACTATTTAGCAACTCTCCGGTAAGAAGACACCTCTCCCTAAAGGACACTTTGGCTCTGCAATTAGGTGTCCTTTACAGGGAGGTAGTTCAACTGTATATAGAAATTGCAAAGAAGAGATATGCAATAGACACAAGGTAATAAAACCAAATCCAAATAAATAAATAGTGTGTGACGTTTCGGTAACAGGTAACATTCAGTACTTTTGTCTGAAGATGGTAACAACGCTGTTACCAAAACTTCACACACTATTTATTTATTTGGATTTGGTCTTATTACCTTGTGTTTATAATCTATAATCCAAATTGTGCCTTATCAGATTTGTAAAAGATGTGAATCTTCTGAATATGAATTGAATAATAAAACAGGTTTCTGGAGATAAGTTTATTTTAATTTTTATTGCAATCTCAAGCTTTCGGCCATTTACTGCCCTTCTACAGGAGTACAAAAATGAACAATATTCAAATACACGGCGTGTAATTATTGTTCACTGTTGTACTTCTGTGGAAGGGTGGTAAATGGCTGAAAGCTTGAGATTAAAATAAAAATGAAAAGTAACTCATCTCCAGAAACAACTTGCATTATTTAAATAATAAAGAAGAGATATAAAAGTTAATGCTGACAAGTTTTTGATGATTAAAGATATATAAGCTTGGTGAGCCTTTATCCAGAGGTGTTATATCAGCTTCACATTCTACAATATTTCCAGGGGTAGTGTTTCGTAGTCCACAAATAATTTTGGATGCTAAAGCACAATTCGGATTATAGATTAGAATTACAATAAAAAAAGACCTAATAAATTAATAGTGTGTGATGTTTCGGTGACAGCATAGTTACCATCATTCGAAAGAATAAAAAGATTATATTCTCTTGTCTGATGATGGTAACAACACTGTCACCGAAACATCACACACTATTAATTTATTTGGATTCACTCTTATTTCCTTGTAGTTCTAATTCTGGATGCATTTTGTTGTATCATTTTCAATTTGTTTAGGTTGTTTTGGGAGGCTTGCATCTAGATTGGAGAAGCATATTCCAATATGGATCAGTGATGTATAGGTGGTGATGTAATGACTTGAATGTTCAATAAACAATATAGAGAAATATTTTACGACTTAAATAACTGGTTTATTAAGTTTTTTAGAATTGAGCTTCGATTTTTCAGCCACCAGAGAGAAAGTTCTAAACATTGAATCAACATTCTTCCTATGACTGCTGACAGAAGGACCTTTGGGAGTGGCCGCTGCTTATCTTCAAACAGCTGGAGGAGCGTGAACTCATGGAATTTGTGTAATCTTCTTTTTTCTGTTGTTTATCCCTAGTACACGTGGTACAGTGGTACAGGCCATGACAATCATGGTGGGTAGAGGTAGGCGACTGCTTTTACTGTAAGTGCACCACATGTCTACACATGTGAAAAGCTGTTCGACATTTGTGTAATATTTACAAAAGGGGATAAGAAACGACATCAACATATTCAAAATATTTTCTATAATGTAATAATTGAATTTAGAGATAAAATTTGGAATATTTTGCAAATTCAGAAATTCATAAATATTGGGTTCTAACAGATGGGTTTTCAAGGTTTTCGCATTAGCAGTCTTTCCCAGAGATGTTCTAACTAAATGATGTACTAACTATGTAATAACTCCGCCTTTGCCGGTCCCAAGCCCGGATGAAAAAGGAGGAGGTAGAGCAGTAACAAGCTCACTAAAAAACCTGGGTTCAGCTGGCCCGACTGATAGTACACTGTAAGGGCTCCTAATCCAGGGATACAGGATGAGCAGCGTTTGTTTTCCATGTTAGTAGCAGCTGCACATGGCGTCTGTTCCTAAAGTCAGAGGCGGCCATTTCTTATGGAGATAAGTCGGCCTGCCACTGAGTAGTGCTCCCAGTCTTAATGATAAAGACAAACGCATTCTACTTCACCCAATCATGATGGTTGTCAAATCTCCCCCGGAGATGTTTTTAAGAATGTTTATCCTTTTCTTGGCCCTGTCATGTATGTGTTTATTAAAATTGAAAGATGGGTCTAAGAAGTAACCTCTAGGTATCATTGATTGTTGTTGTTTAATTTTTGGAATGATGATCTTATCATTGTTTTGAATGAACATTATCAGTCATTTATACATCTTAAATGTATTCCAATTGTCATGGTAGTGTTCACAAGGAGCCGTTCTATTAGGATAAACAAATGACAAATAATATAAAACTTGTTAAACACACGCGAACAGTCAAGAAATATCATACAGTAGAACCTCACTGTAATGGACAACACCTAATTGTAGAGATAAAGTGTCCTTTAGGGAGAGGTGTCCTCTTACTGAAGAGTTTCTAAATAGTAAAAATTGTAATTTTGCAGATGAAAACTGTCCTTTATAGAGAGGTGTTCTCTAGTGGGAGTGTCCTTACCTGGAGGTTCTACTGTATACAATAATAATTCTCACCAAACAGATACATGAATCAGCAGTTGGGGAATATTCAATTTAAAATGGCACAGATTAATTTCTTCAATCATTGATTATAACACACGATTTGGATTATTATTATAAACACAAGGTAATAAGACCAAATTTAAATAAATAGTTTGTGATATTTCGGTAACAGCGTTGTTATCATCTTTGTTGGCATTCAGTACTTTTGTCTAAAGATGATAACACCACTGTTACACTGAAATGTCAGACACTATTTATTTGGATTTGGTCTTATGCCCTTGTTTTTTCTTCAATCAGTGATTATATTAAATCAATTATTCACAGACATGCACACGCATTTGCCCCTTTAGGCGAACATCATCTTTCTGCATAGAGTTACATAAAGTACCGTTATCGGTACCTACCAATTTCTTTTCAAAACTTTTCCATTAAAAAAAGTCCAATGCGCCATTTGATCCTGCTTCACGGCAGTCAAATTTCGAAGGTTTTTATACCACTCCTGCTCAAACCTCAAATTATATTTTGACTTTCATATCTCTGCATAACTCATTATCAATCTGAACGCATTATATATATAAGCTTGTCCCACATGTATATCTACAGTTGAACCTGTCTTTAGCGCCCCCTCTAAATAGCGCCTCCCTCTCAATAGCGCCATATTTTAAATACATAGTACGATGCGATTTACATTTAAAGTGACCTGTCTATAGCACTCCCTCTCTATAGCACCCTATTTTGGCGAGTCCCAAGAGGGGGCGCTATAGACAGGTTTAACTGTATTATTAAACCCATCAATAAAAAGGCAGTCAAGTTTATTGATATGGTTACAAATCAATCTTTGTTCAAAAGGTAGTTGTTCTGGCTCCAGCTCAGTAGTGTCAATAGTCATGCAACACAGCAGATATACTTTATATAGAGCTCATTTGTAGTGGCATTTTAGAACATTTCAATCCATGTGAACTTATGTAAGTGAATAAAAGTAAATTAATTTTTTTGTTTATTGCTTTTTGCCACGATCTCTTTGACATGGCTAGCATTTCTGGGGCGTATATAGGACTCCAAGGCTCCGTGTTGGTCTACGGTTGCCTCTATCATAGTGGACATCCAGCTAGTTAGGTGTCTCAAAACTAATCTGAAATTTGGAAGGTCTTTTATAGCTTAGGGTTGA